CTTGAGGGCTCAAGATTTAAATATATATCACCTTTCCGGTCTGGGAATCTGTCTTTGATTTAGATCAGTATGGAAGTGTTTTATTAGAGCCTAGTTAGGAATTGATTCCTTAACTTGTGATATTTTCTGTCCATTAGATTTAGGTGAGGTTTTCATACATTTGTTTCTTCTTAGTCTACTGGATTACATTTTCAGTAATCCACATTGAATTTATTCCTAGGAGCTTAGTTTGGGAATATTTTCTTTATTCTCATCTTCCTTAAAGAAAGCAGAAATTTGAGAAAGTTAATTAAGTTTTAGACAATTTAACAACAAGATGATCATCGTTGTTGACAAATAACTTGAAATTCGATGTTCTTAGAAATGGAGCATTGATCCAATTGCTTGATACAATTATGATTATTATATCTATCAATTTTCCTGGGATGCTTCTTTAGATAAAAAGACTAAAATCAGTTCTACTTATGTGCTTTTTCATATGTGTGTTTCAAGATGTTTATCATTCAGTTACTCCTCTGAAACTCATGGTCCAGAAACATTAATTAACTTATTTTACAAGTGAATAAACTGCAACCTAAAATGGTTGAGTTGCTTAAGGCATCTAGACAAGTCTAGGAAAGTTAACAGCAGCTCAAGCTCCAAGCCTTGTCTAATTAATATTGTATCCAGGAAATGAGTTCCTCTTCAAAGCAGAAATCTTTTACCATTCTAGCACGTCCCCAGAGAAGCCCTTAAGGGTGTTTGTTTTGTTTGTTTTTTTTTTCTCTTATTTATTTATATGAAAAATGCTTGAAATCTTCTGCTTCAACCAAATCCTTCTCTTCAATGCTAATAGCATTGTTTATCTTGTGTGTGTGTTTCTCACTCTTGGTAGGTTCCTTTTCAAGCTATTGTCTTAAGTTTTGCTTCCCAGCATTCTCTTTTTGCCTTATACTTAGTATTTAATTATTATGCTGATAGTATGAGATTCCATTCATTAGATTTCTTGCTATTGTCTCTTGACTTAATAAATTTGCTATAAGGCCTCGTTGATTTTCTTACTGACTCTTTGCAACCTCATGGACTGTAGCCTACCAGGATCCTCTGTCCATGAAATTCTCCAGGCCAGAATACCAGAGTGGGTAGCCTATCCCTTCTCCAGGCAATCTTTCCAACCCAGAGAGCAAACCCAGGTCTCTGCCATTGCAGGCTGATTCTTTTTTTTTTCTTTTCTTTTTCCATTTATTTTTATTAGATGGAGGCTAATTACTTTACAGTATTGTAGTGGTTTTTGCCACACATTGACATGAATCAGCCACAGATTTACATGTGTTCCCCATCCCGATCCCCCCTCCCGCCTCCCTCCCCATCCCATCCCTCTGGGTCTTCCCAGTGCACCAGCCCTGAGCGCTTGTCTCATGCATCCAACCTGGGCTGGTGATCTGTTTCACCCTTGATAGTATACTTGTTTCAATACTATTCTCTCTGAACATCCCACCCTCGCCTTCTCCCACAGAGTCTAAAAGTCTGTTCTGTACATCTGTGTCTCTTTTTCTGTTTTGCATATAGGGTTATTGTTACCATTTTTAAAATTCCATATATATGTGTTAGTATACTGTATTGGTCTTTATCTTTTTGGCTTACTTCACTATGACCCAATCAAAAAATGGGCCAAAGATCTAAACAGACATTTCTCCAAAGAAGACATACAGATGGCTAAAACACATGAAAAGATGCTCAACATCACTCATTATCAGAGAAATGCAAATCAAAACCTCAATGAGGTACCATTACACGCCAGTCAGAATATCTGCTATCCAAAAATCTACAGGCAATAAATGCTGGAGAGGGTGTGGAGAAAAGGGAACCCTCTTACAGTGTTGGTGGGAATGCAGGCTGACTCTTTATCATCTGAGCCACCAGGGGAGCCCTGTGTGTCTTTAAAATGTAATTTTAAAAATTCAATTCACTCTAGGTTTGTGTACTCCCCCAACAGAGTACGAAGGCCTCCTAAATACCTGATTCCTTTTCCCTCCATCCACAGAGATGCTGTCTTAGTTCATTCCTACTAGACCCACTGGACCACTAAGTGGCTTTCTGAAAAGGGTATCCTTGGCCTTTTTTTCAATATTTACTTGGCTGTTTCGTGTCTTAGTTGCAGTATGTGAGATCTCTATTGGGTCATGTGGGATCTTTCATTGCAGCTCATGGACTGTCTAGTTGAGTCCTGCAGGCTCCAGAGTGTGCGGGTTCAGCAGCTGCAGCATGTGGGCTCTTAGTTCCCCAACCAGGGATTGAACCCACATCCCCTGCATTGCAAAGGCGATTCCTTTTTTTTTTTTTAAGAGAGATTAAAAAAAAAATTTTATTTATTTTTATTTTTGGCTGTCCTGAGTCTTCGTTGCCACGTAGGCTTTTCTCTAGCTGTGGCAAGCGAGGGCTCCTCCCTAGCTGCAGTGCGCGGGTTTCTCCCTAGAGTGGGTTCTCTTGTCGCAGAGCACGGGCTCCAGGGCATTCAGGCTTCAGCAGAGCGGCTCCCAGGCTCTGGAGCACAGGCTTCATTGCTCCAAGGCATGTGGGATCTTCCTGACCCTGTGACCCATGGATCAAACACCTGTCCTCTGCACTGGCGGGCGGATTCTTCACCACTGAGTCACCAGGGAAGCCCCAAGGTGGACTTTTAATCACTGGGCCACAGGGAAGTCCCATTGCCTATTGTTTTTAATCATCACAGGTAATGTCTACAGAATCATGTTTCTGTAGTTTAATTCTGATCATATCTGTATGTTGCTTAAAAACTTTGAATGGCTCACCCTAAGTGAGAGTTAAGATGGGATCTCCTTGGCATACCAGGCCCCTTTTGATCTGGCATGCACTCACTTTGCCAGACTCATGTAATTCCATTCTGGACTATAGTCACACTACAATATTATGGTCTGTGCTTCTGCATATACAGTAATCATTTCCAGACAAATAAGTAAGACATTTAAAGATTAAGTTAAATAATTCCACTTACAGACTATTAATTGAGAGAAGGAAATGGCAACCCTCTCCAGTGTTCTTGCCTGGAGAATCCCATGGATGGAGGAGCCTGGTGGGCTATAGTCCACGGGGTTGCAAAGAGTCGGACACGACTGAGCGACTTCACTTCACAGACTATTAATACTGGCATAGGAATGTCTCTTCAATATCTTATAGTTCTAATATTTGCCTCAAGCATTTGTTTAAAAATGTGTTAAGCATATACATATCACACAGGATACTTTCCAATATGTTAAGACCATTTACATCTTTTTTCTGCTGTATCAACTTAAAGATCCATAGTTTAACATCTAAAATCATAGCCGTGACAACAGTATTTAAACAACCATCCGTTTTTTTCTGTAATTTAAATCACATATCTAGGGAAACCATCATTCCACTAACAACAGGTGAACACTTTTTATTTTACAGATGAGGGGTAAATGATTTGAAACTAGGTTTACAGACTTGCCCACCATGATCCAGTGTTGCTATTGCTTTTTCCGTCCTGTCAGGGCCTTTTGGAATGGGCATTCTCCCATTCACCCAGGGCCACAGCATCAGATTTTGCTTTAGAGGGTCACGCTTCTGAGGAGCAGCTGAATCAACATTAGGCAGCTAGGATTCAGAATTTGGCGACCAGTTTCTTAAGAATAGGCACAGCATGAAGTGAAATTCAATTAAGAGTTATGTTTATATGTCATATTACTAATAAACTCATTTTTTTAATGAATGATTACTGACTTATGTAATGCTCTATTTGCTATTGTTAGTATGCTTTGTTGTGTCCGAAATTTAAGTGCCTAAACGTAAGTCACTATAATAAACCAATAGATAATCATATATAAAACAATCACATAAATAACAGCTTCCAGCTATTTTAAAATACTTTAATCTCAGAAAATCTGCACAGCCTGCTGGAAACATCCATCAATTGTTACTCAAAGATGCTAGAAGTTTATAGTGATTTCTTTTTAGATGACTAGAATGATAAGTGTTTAAGAGGTTAGCATTAAATAATAAATTATTGGAAATGAACATTATTGGAAATCCAGCATTTATTCTGATATTTAATATTATACCAGGTGCTAAATATTAAACTTATTAATATCAATAGTAAAGTTCCAAACTCCCATTTTTTTATTTTAGCATTTTGTTTGGTTATTGGCCTATAAGTTTCTTTTAAATGTCTGAGTTGACTGCCACTGCAAATTTTCCATAAGCAAGTTATGACAAAAAGTATATTTGACAAATCCCTTTCAAAAGATAGATCTCCAAAAGGTTCTGCAACTCCAAAATGTGGATTAGTTTAGCATAAAAAAGTAACTTACATGCAATACTAAATTACCAGAACTAGTAAGTATTCAAGTTTTGATGTTTCATTGTATTCTTGTTTTTAAAAAGTTTTGCTTTTCCTGATTTCAAAAGAAGTAGAGTCATTTTAGAAAAAAATGGAAAACCCAGAAAAGCAAAAATAAATTACCAGTAATTGTTCTACCACAGAAATAACCTCAATTTATATTTTAGAGTTTATCTTTCTAGTTTTGCTTTTTCCTAGCAACTGCAATTTTTTATTTTGGTCTTTGTGCTAGTATCCTCAGATAAAGGTGTGTACAGGAATCTTACATAATAGAGATCTAAGATATGAGGTGTCTACCTACCCCTCCCCTCTCTTTCATGATAGAAACTACTTCTGATCTTTTTTTTTTTTTTGGTCATATCTGGACTTGGTATACAGAGTTGGTGACTAAAGGATACAAGTTAATATTTTTGACAGAATCAAAGAAACCAGGGGAAAACTTTTTTTCAGATAAATATTTTAATAAAATGATCACACAAAGTTGTATATATATATACATACAATTATTTACAAATATGCAAGCATACGTACAAACACTAGAAAGGAATACACAGGAAATGATGTGTGTTAGGATACTGAAATTCCATTTCTTTTTAATTATTTTGTAATTATTTTACACCAAGGCAGGACTATTTTAGTTTCAGAGAATCTTATATAAATGTACTTGTTCAAGAGCTTCTCTGTCAATATCCTTTTCTGGGAATACATCATAGTTCAGCGGTATCTCTTCAACCCAAGGAGATAACTGTATATTAACCTGAGGAAAAAAAAATTGTTCATATTATAAACAAATATGAAAATTACAGAATGAACCTACTCTTTTCAATTTCAAGAAATCAGATTTATATTACAGTGAGAGGGACTAAGTTCTACATGGTGCCACATGAACAATTCTTTTGTCATAGTAAATGGCAGGCTTGTAGATTCAGGGACTTAATTTACCTTGATTTGGGAACTTGAAAGGATAAAGAACATTATACAATAGAGTAATTATTTTAAAGTAACTAGTTTAATAAACTAGCTTAAACAATAAAGGATTAAAACAACAATGGGAGTACACAGAGAAACTTCATATATACACAGTGATGGTGCTAACAAGTTGCATGAGAGGAGCTAATCTCTCTCTATAACCTTCATCAGGCTCTTCCCTTCACATTGCAAACTTGGGTCTCCAAGACACAGAAACTCTTGAGCCACCAATGGATATACCTACTTAAAGAAGTTTCATTAAATCAGAAAGTAACAATGTTATTCAAGAATTCATATGTAAGGACTCTTTCAAAAACATTTTACTTTGGTAACTGAAAATCACTGAATTATTTCAATACATATAAACATTATAAATTGGAGAGCATGTATTTTAAAAGGTGTGTTTTTATGAGTATGAAAAAGTACGGCAGAATCACACCACTCACGGGGTAGAGATCTCAAGGGGAGGGAAATGGGGAGATTACCATCATGTCTTCATGTATCTCTGGATTATTTCTCCTGTTATGGTAAACATGACTGTAATTTAGATGACTGACAACAATTTTTGAAGAAGATATTATTCATGATTGTTTAGTTTCTTAAAGGAAGAAATAAGATACTTAAATTTTGCAGTGATTATATGCAATGGAAGCACTATGAAAGAAAATGATAATGATTCTGTATTAAGAAATGCTATAATATCTCATCAAGGAGTCTCAAAGAGCTTTACAAATATTAATTAACCTTTATAAAAGAGTCAATTTATTGGGATGAATCTTATTATTAACTATCAACCTTATTTTGTATGGAGAATCTGAGGAATATAGAAGCAGCTTGAGCAAGACTCCAAACTGACCTAGAAGCTAAACTGTGTTCAGGATATGGCCTCCAACCCACTTACTGGAGAAAAAGTTATGATGTGGGTATTTTTAAGTCTCTTACAAATATTTAATAGCATTTGTAACTTAAAACTGTAATTCCACAGTTAGAAACTCATGCCCATCGAGTCGGTAATGCCATCCAGCCATCTCATCCTCTGTCATCCCCTTCTCCTCCTGCCCCCAATCCCTCCGAGCATCAGGGTTTTTTCCAATGAGTCAACTCTTCACATGAGGTGGCCAAAGTATTGGAGTTTCAGCTTCAGCATCAGTCCTTCCAATGGACACCCAGGACTGATCTCCTTTAGGATGGACTGGTTGGATCTCATTGCAGTCCAAGGGACTCTCGAGAGTCTTCTCCAACACCACAATTCAAAAGCATCAATTTTTCGGTGCTCAGCTTTCTTCACAGTCCAACTCTCACATCCATACATGACCACTGGAAAAATGATAGCCTTGACCAGACGGACCTTTGTTGGCAAAGTAATGTCTCTGCTCCGCTGTGATTCATGGGGTCGCAAAAGGGTCGAACACGACTGAGCGACTGAACTGAACTGAGTTAGAAAAACTGGGTGGAGAAGCAAAGGTATCTAGATCAGGATCAGAATGACACTCTCAGAGTTCTGGAGGAACGTGAATAAACCAAAGAACAGTTCTTTAGCCATAAGGTTTTGCTACTCTTTCTAGTGTTGTCACTGTGTTCAGACTGAACATTTCTAGAATAGTGTAACAGCTATCAGAAAAGAGCAGGAGAAAAGTTTTGACAATAAAAGTGCTGGGAAAGAAGCTTACATACCTGAAGACCCGAGAGAGAATCTTCCAGGCCTGGTACTGTCACCAATAATGACCCTTGTTTCCTTACATTATGGCAGATATATTCCCAGGCTCTACAACACATTAAAAACTTCTGTGTTAGCATTTACCAGACACTGGATATTTTTTAAAAATGAGGATGACAAAAGCATATGCAGCATAGGTGATATCTAGAAATCCAGATGGGCAAAAACGTTAGCCTGCAGGGAACAGAGCTGCAGCAACATACTAGTAATTGGTAAAGTCAGTTCCTGAAGGGATGTTGGCAAAATTGTGGCATTACAATACTGAGAGAGATTTAACAAGATGGGGGGATTAGGGTTAATACAAGCAATTGTGAGTAAGACCACAAAGAAGTTTTCAGAACTGATACAGATGTCAAAGCTGGATCATGGTTAAAGCCCCTTCAATTCTTTATGATCTGTCAAACTTCCTACAGAATGGAACCGAGCTGAGGAGAGTGGGTGGGAAAGAGTCATGGAGAAAAGCCACAGAAGCCAGAAAACAAGCAAAGGCTAATAATAAGAACATAATATGTAGATCTTTTAAAATAACATCAAGAGTGCAATCATACTTTATTAGGCTGTCAGAAATACTCAGCGGAAAGCCTTGTGGACAATGTGATACCTGAGAAGTTCAGTGTGATCAGCTAGGTTTAAAGCACAAAGGCAGGCCGTGTGCACGTGTATGTCAGAGCGCAGTATTTGACCAGTTTTGATTAGCCTGTAGTGCAGACACGAATGGGATTTCTACACTGCATGAGTCTTGACAGTACACCCCACTGGGGGGGCGGGGGTCAAGCAGAGCAAGGAAGTGCACCCCCTGCAGTGGGGCAGGTGGGCAGCTGTGTTGTTTGCACTCACTTTAGTTCTAGCAATGGCTATTGGGTGTAGTACATTCTGGAGCTTATTAGGCAAAATGATAACAAATGTTCTTTTTCTCAGGTTAGATCTAAAACCAACTAGCAGTGTTTGATAATAATTATCACTGTGCTTGGGCTAGAGCTGTCTGTTGTTTTGATGTAGTTCCCTAAAAATGATGTTTTTTCAAGTCTGTTTAGTAAGACTGAAGAAGCTGATTGTATTAGCACGATAGGGCATGGCTCTAAAAACAGCACTTGCTGCTTCTGAGAAGTTGTCATTGCAGTAGTTGTATAGGTTTTACTTACTGAAAAAATACACAGAGGTACCTTTTAAACTAAGACTTACTCTACTTGCTACAATATAGAATAATACAGGTAAATGATCAGTTCTGTCAGAATGATTCTAATATCAGAATGCTTTATCTTCTAAACTTTCTCCTGTGTATTGTCATTCATGAAGACAATCATCTATATTTAAAATTCATTGCACTTGACTAATTTGGAGAAATGACTGAACACATGGGGTCAATACCTATTTGGTGAGTCATGCAGAGTTTGCAAATGAATTTTCCAAGATAGCACAAGCGTGCAGCAGTTCCAGTATCAAGCTGACCAGTAATATCTGTCATTCTTCAGCATTTAAAATCTTCCTTTATGAATCTTCCAAGAGTTTAAGGTGCTTTTCTCTTTTAACTTCTTATAATATTGGTATTATTTCATTCTCTAATCATTATTTAATGTTTTGACTACTGGTCATGAACTTGAAAAGGTAAAAAGCTACATAAACTTTGTCCACTGGAAATTAAGTTTAAAGAGTGCACTATGGTTAAAACAACTTTGTTCATGTTATGTTTCTGGTCTTTACCCTGTAAACAAAAAATAATCACCTGTTCTGGCTGTACTTTGATGATGTGATTAGCTTTCTGTTGAACAAGTTTCTTTATAAACAATTCACATTGCTAATTTTGTACTGATCTTAACCTAGAAGTAATAGATGTGTGCACGTGTGTGTGAGAGAGAGCGAGCGAGCGAGAGAAAGAAAGAAAGAAGGTGAAGGGATAGCAGATAGAGGTTTAGTCATTCAAGATTCTGCTCCATATTAACTGTTTATGGTCTATAATTATGTACCTTTTTATTTCTAAGCAGTAGAAATCTCCCTGATGAACTAATGCAAACATGAATGTAATGCCCTTTCATACATATGGAAAGGCGCTTTCTTGTATCTAGAGTTACATATGTCATTATGATAAATAAGTTAGTAAGCCTAACTGACCAGAAAATCAGTGTCTTGGACTGTAAGAATTTTCTAATTAGAGGAGCCTATAAATCCTGATGAGAAGTCAGAAAAGTCACAGGAAACTCCCTGTGGTCCAGTGGTTAGGACTCCGTGCTTTCACTGCCTAGAGCATGGGTAAGATCCCTGCTTGGGGAACTAAGATCCCACAAGCAATGTAGTAGTATGGTCAAAAATTTAAAAATAAGAAACAAAAAAACTGATCACAGATTTGCTAATTTTTCTATTGCTTAAATAGTGGAATAAAGTCTAGGAACCTACTATTACTATCTTAAGAACATTTTAAAAATTTGGTAATTATGCATTGTTTTTTAGGTGAATATTCTTATATCTTGTTCTATAGTCATTTATGGGCAGCAGTTAAGTCCCATCATTCTGTGACAGGATAACAAAAGGACATGTGTTTTTTCAAAGAAAAGAAAACTGAGGCAGAAAAAAATTTAAGACCCACTGGGAACTGATAATTAACTTCTTGCATCCCTGACTGCAAAGAAAAAGCTTGGGTCATGATACCATTTTCTTTTCTTTTTTTAAAATTAATTTATTTATTTTAATTGGAGGCTAATTACTTTACAATATTGTACTGGTTTTTGCCATACATTGCATGACAACATTTTCTATCTCCTCAAAATCAGATGTAATATTTTACAAGGTTAGACAACCAGTTTATTTTTATTTTCACTTAGACATAACACTTAGACAGAACATATCACATAACCACTTAAGAAATAGCTATTCATTCTTATTAATACAATCTCCTGAGAGTTGAGGTTATTTCTAAAAAGTTTACTATCACTCCAGGGCCCCAAGTTCAATCTGTGGTAGGGGAATGAAGGTCCTACAAGCCTGGCCATGCCAAAATAAATAAATAAATAACGTACCTGGCCTGTTCTGTCTCATTAAGAAAATATTCAAAGACATTATTCATTATAATAACATCAGCATTCTGCAGAAGTAAACCTTGTGTACAAATGTCTGCATGAAGCACCTAAAGAATGAATTAATGTAAAAGAACAAGGACACCATATCACATAACCACTTAAGAAATAGCTATTCATTCAATGACATTGTGAGGCAGGCGGTAAGGGAGATTCACACTTCTTAAAATGGGAGTACAGTATATTTAATACTACTGCCCTTGAAGATACTTAATATCTAATAAAAACCATAAACTTGTGAAAACTTTATTTTTTAGATAGACTTATTTATATAGTCATAATTACACTCTCTTTACTCCCAATTTAGAGCTTTTTCTACTGTATCAGTAGTTATGAGTCAAAGGAACTAGGTTCAAATTCTGGCTGCATTATCAACTAGGGTTATACATTTGAGTAGTCAAATGTCTTCATAAATAAAATGGAGTAATATCCATCCTGATTCACAGAATCAAATGGGACTAAATAAAGTTTAAAAAGTAATTTGTAAAATGTTAATACAAATATGTTAACTGGCCTTGTCTGACTCTTCATCCAAAATTTACTTGAATATATTATCTATCCAAGAAAGCAAACAAAACAATTTAGAAAATTAAATACCTCAAAAAATTAGCTTAGACTATAATCAACAAGTTTTGTAGAACACAGGCAAGATAACAAGAAGAAATATTTATTTGCTCAAGAGCAAAGCAAACTAACTTTTATTTTAAAAGAAGAGAAAAAGTTTTTTGTATTATATGATTTTTTTTCCAAAAAGCACTTAGTCTTACAAATAAATAATATGCAGAGGTATTTTTCAGAATGTTTAAATCTTGATTTCTAATTAAGTTGATATTCCTGTATTTTTTGTGATTTATTATGTAACAGCAGTGTTTATTTGTTCACTAAATATGGAATAATGAGAAAAATCTATAAATTTAATATTGGATAATGAATTCTCTTTGATCACTTGCCTCTCAATTTAGAATATGAGAGACAGAAAAAAAGGATGAAAGGAGGAAGAAAACAAAAAGTTTTCCTTCTATAAAAAGGTGAAGGCTAGATTCTGAATCTTACTAAGATACGTCTTTGAATATTAGATTGAACTGAACACCAGAGATCCTTAGATCCCCAGTACTTCTGTGCACTGCCATCAGAAGTGTAGGATCACTAGTGAAATGATAAGGATTATGGCATTAACCAAAAAACTTCCTTTCCCCTTTCTGGTTATTTTCCCCCTTACCTATAACAAACAGAAAATTTCTGCCACAGCCCAACTCAGGGCATCATCCTCCCATGAACTGCTAGTCTGTGGTACTCATAATTCCTCTTGCAAGTTTATAAAAGAAGATGAAGAACTGTGAGCATTACTTAATCTTTTTGCTTACTTTCAACATTCAGGGTTTAATTAAATACACATCTGACAACATGAAGATATTTAAAATTGCTGCTAACAAAACTATAGTTGATATGAAGAAAACTAAGAAAAAAAATTCTACTTTCTAATAAAATTGGGGAGGAAGAGAAAAGTGTGAGTGGAACATAATGATAATAATTCATCTTCATTATTAATGTTATAAAATATTAACTCAATCTATTTCTATACAACAGCAATGAAGGATAGATTCAAATATTTTCCAACTCCAGTAGAGAAGAAACTTGGCTAAATTTGCTACACAATGCATAAGAGAAAAAATATTTTAAAAAGTACCTTTATTCTGTCAGTGAACTGATACTTTTTTATGATCATTTCCTGCAACTGGCAAAAGTCTCCATTCAGTTCTACTCCATACAGTTGTGATGCTGAACTGTAAAGATAACCCTAAAATATGAAGACACATGATGCAAAAGAATTAACTTTTAGTTGTGAGTTTATTTCTACTTGAAATTTTAAAAGTCAAACTTTAAAAAGAGAATTCAATAAACTAAAAATAAAAGTAAAGATAAATAACATTATATAATTTATGTAAAACAACTTTAAGAACTTAGACTCTTACTCATCAAGACCTCAATTGTAGTTTATTAATTTCCATTATTTAAAAGTAATTTTATCTTATTTATCAGATATTACTATTTTAAACCCTCCCTTTATGTATACTTGTAGAAGAATACATTTTTTCCAAATAAAGGCTAAACTTTCTAAAAGCATAAAAATAATTATGTTTTTAAGGATTGATTTCTTACTTTTCTCAATAAAACTACATTCAACAACGTTGGAAATAAGGAAAGTGATCACATATAGATTCTTTCTTTAATACCCTGTTTCTGTAATTTCTTAGAACGTTACATCAGGGGAAAGTAAGAAAGGTGTTAACCTATTGGAAATATGATGAACACTCAGCACAGTTTGACATAAGATGCAGGTGGCCGAAGGTGTGTCCTGTTTAGCTTATGGAAGCCAGCCTGCTGTTTGGTAAATCCATCAAAGACAACTGGCCATCAGTTAACAAGGATCATCAAAAACAGACTATGTATTATTACCTATCTATTTTTGGTTGTAATAACAAAAACAATCTGGAAGGAGAGGTCAAATTATATTCTGAAGACCATTTTACATCAACTAACACCTATGTGTAAACTCAATTTATATTTATAGCTCACCATAGATATTTAGAATATGTTCAACAAAGCATAGGTAAGTACTAATAAAAATTGTTGACTGAATCAGGGACCTCTATAGAGGAAAATGACCATATGTTTAATCTCACTGATGCTGCCAAACACCTGCACAGTCACAATTATTCAGCTATATTTGTTTCTAACAAATAAAAAAATAAACAAGAGTGGACAAAATATGGTAAACAATCATAATCTCTAATGTTCACCAAGCAAAATCAGCAGATAAACTGTACTATTATGGCTGTCTTTTCTAACTGTAGGACAAAAGTCAATGCTGAAAAATAAATGAAGCATCAAAGGGTTAACCGTTTCTGTTTAGAGTAGGCAGTGATGCTGGGAATGGACAGAGCCTGTTCCTGGCATGAACTCCTACGGCTGCTGGCCACATGTTTTAACACGTCTGTTAATGAAACCAGAAACCACATTTCAGTTTTTTTGATAAAACCATTTAAGAACATTAAAAATATTCATGATTTGAATTTTTTTTAAAGAGTCACATTGAAGTGATATCTCAGACACAAAAATCTACGTTCAGACTTTGGATCACTGAAAACCACGGTGTGTCCTGTGTCCAAGATGATATCATCTGCTTTGCTCACTTACAGGTGAGGATATTGATGCCAGGGGTGTGGAGTGATTTGCTTATGGGTGTAAGCTATTCCCTAATTGAGCAAATTTGTCAGTTTTATAAGCGCTCTTATCAAAGCTCCGCGTGCTATACTGTTTTATGACAGTACAGAAAATGGAGTTAGACGTGCGGTAAGTGAGTGACAGAATACCAAAGTGTTATGAGGGCCATCTGTTCCTGTTTTGCTGAAATTCCTTCACTTGTGTGACAAGAGACAAATCAGGAAAGATCAGAGAGCTGGCCTTTGAAAGGTCCAAATTCAATGCACTATTTTAACCATATTATTCTATTACTCTAATAAAGCAAGCCAAGCTGTCACCTTAGATGGTGGCAGGCAAAACTGTTGCTAGTAGGAGAAGAAAGTATTTCCAAATGTTGACTATGTCCACAAGTTGGACTTTACCCCATAAAGGACGGTGCCAAGCCTGGAGCCAACGTCAACCAAGACCTTTCCCGACAGATCAGGGAGTACGTGATGATAAATGAATTTCAATTCCATGAGAGAGAAGGAATGAGAAATAAACCCTGAAGAATGAGAACAAACATTAAATTTTGCTTGAGGATTAACAGTTCCATTCTGTATTTCTAATTCTTTCACTTATAAAGTATATTTCATGCTTTCCTTAATCGATGAAAGCCATTCAGAGGTTATTTAGGAAACATTAGTGTAATAACTTTGCACTCATTCACTCTGAGCTGAGACACAAGAACAAATACACAATCTCTGACATTTAGGAGGCCTCTAGAAAACGGTAACTCAGCTGGCTGTCTCTACCGCCATGCTTCTCATCTCTTTCTCTTCCATCCTCTAGGGTGTCCTAGGCCTTTCTCTTCCTTGTCTCCCAATGAACTGCTTTTCCCTGAGACTGCTTCCTAACTCCCATAGCACCTGTTTTTCTCATTCTACCCCAGAACCATCCACAGAGCCTCCACCTCTCGCTGCATAGACTAAACTACCAAATGAATGACTATCTCTGGAGTGGAACAATGTGGCGCCCTGGCCAACCTCAAGTGTGGTCTGGAGAGCCGGAGACGGGTGGTATGGAAGGAGGTTAAGACACTGCTAAATTGTTATCTCCCTTAGTTTAATTGCTATAATTTCTAACCTCCTAGCCCATTTTCTCACTCCAGTATTTCTGTAATGAAATACTTGGGAGAGCCTGAGTCTGTTTTTTTCTGATATGGAGGTAACCCAAAGATTTTCTTTATTGTGTGCTAGTACATAATCTAATGGTCAGGAAACTTTGATCATAACTAATGAATGGTGGCAAATAAAATGGAAGCAATCAGGCTAATCCCTGGGAAGAAAAGAAAGGGTGACTAGGCCTCCGAAGTAACATTGGAGGTGGTGGGGTGCAAGGGCATTAAGCACCACAGTCTTTATTTCCCCTCATCCTCACTGCCCTCTTTGCCACATTAGTGCTCCTGCCCTGGGCTAGTCATTAGTGTCTTATAGATGACAAGCTCCTTTCATATAGGAAAGAAGAGCCCCACACGGTGACAGCTTTCTCACACTCACTGTAGTTATCTGGGCACCCAGTCACTATTTATAATCTGATTTTTATGCGAAAATGCATCCTAATCTCCCAAATTTTTCTTTATTGAACATAGCTCTTCTATAAATTTCCGTACATCAGATCTGAAATGGTCTTATAATTAGAATCCACTTTTTAATTCTCCCTCTATTGTTCTTGTCTAAGTCTTCTGCTTTGTGAACTCCGATCACTTCAAATGAATCTTAAAGCAGTAAACCAGGGTAGTTTAATCCCCAACTATAATATAGGTACAACAAATTTATATTAGCCACATATTACAAATTTGGTAGCAGTGAACTTTTGAGAATAATATTACCTAAGATCAGTAACATGAGCACACTACTACTCACCCACTCTAAGTAATGCCTCAAAATCTAGGTTAGCAGGGAGACTGAAATAGCATGTTTAAAGGAATACCCTAGACAATCATATCCGGTTTAAACAAAAGTATAGTACAAAAGAGTTTACATCTTAGCAGCATGGAATCAGTCTAGTTTCCGGTTCGAAACACAGGTGTTGCATCTGAGGGACAGAGGTGCAGGAGACTATGACTAGAGCTGTTCTGTGTTACAGGCAGGAGATGCTCCAGGTCAAATCAAGGCCTGCATAAACTCTCAAGATTATCCATCTCCGTCTTCTAAGTACACACCCATCCAAAAATATCAGATTACTATTTGACTTCGCAAGTAGATATTTCTATGGGGAGAAAGTTTTCAGCTCCCTTGGCAGTTATATTTCTCACTGTAAATAATCACTGCTACGGATAAATGCGACTCTCTTTTGAGTATATAAAGTATGATTTAGTTTCCCCATATTCAACCACTTCCAATTAGTTTCAGGACCTGAGAAGTCACCTCCAATTAAATATGTTCAGTAAAACGCAGAAATACTCCCACAGGGGACATGAAGGGGCCTAACCTCCCTGGACAATGTTTCTATTTAGTTTCTCTGATTTTAGTAATTGGTAATAGCTAGGCTGCAGGTTGGCCTTTTGCTTTTAAAAAAGCCAAAAAACAGTGAATGCCTGGTCAACAACCTGCACAGTCATGACATTAAGGAAAAGTGCACACAGAGTCGTCAGGTTTGCGGGCTCGAGTGCCCACCTAGAGGTGCTGTCCGATGTGAGCCGCACACCAGGCAGTAGTTTCTGCTCATTTTTCCTTCCTCACATAATGAATCAATAAAGTCTTCATCATAGAGGAATGCATCAACGTGAACTGTGGGTTCTGGCTGCTGCTGTATCTGGTGGAGAGAAGAAAAACATCAAAAGAAACAGAGTACAAAGAAGTCTCTTTTTATTGCTAAATAAGGCAAAACATCAGTGGTTCATATGCTGAAATTCTGAGAGCAACAACAGCCAGAAAGACAAGGTTCACTCATGGAAGTCAGCAACTCTGCTTTCATGCTATTTTTGAGACACTGGCAACTTGCTATTTGACCATGTCATAATGCAAAACATGGCTATTAGAAACCGATAAAAATTTAAGTTGAAAGGAGTATTTTGACATCATTTTGTCCATCCTAAGTAGTATATTTTACAAATAAGGAAACATACCCAGAGAGATTTCTCCCAAGAACTGACACTAGTTAGTTCAGAGGGGGAGAGGAGAAACTGATACCAGGTCTTCTGAGTCTACCTGTCAGGGACTTACCCATCAAAATACTTGGCAAGTAATCTTTGCCCAGAAGCAAACTTTTCAAATAATAAAAAATGTTTAGTAAAATTTCATGCTTACAAATAATAATAGCACTTAATGCTGGTAGTACATGATATAACAGCAAGCAGCTACAAAGAAAAACAATGTTTGTTCCCTTCTACTTCAAGGATAATAAAGAATCAACAAAAGGGTGAACTTCACCCTGATAAAAGTCAGGGAAATGGAACAGGGCAGAGAGAACCAAGATAATTACCTAGGCAGGGACAGATTACTGTTGTATTGTTGGGCCTTGATTTGGGGTGGGGTGGGGTGTGCTTGGCAAACAGGACACCCTCAAAAAATATCTTTTGAACGAATGGTACTAGGGAGCCAGGGGGTTACCGGCTCAAAAGAATTGGGGGAATGGATGAAGCACTAAATGAAGAAGCAGAATTCAGGACTAAAGATTAGGCTGGAAAGGCTAATGGGGTTAGAGAAGAGTAGGAGAAACCTCAAGCTGCACTAGGAATAAATTAATTTAATATATTTACTTTTTGGAGAGCTAGATGTTCTGAGGAAAGCATGGTTTCTAGAGGTAAGCAATTCCGAAGGTCTTCTGCTATGTTTTTCAATATAACATCATTATTGTCTTGAGTGAATTCATCAAAATCTCCTGCCAAAAAAAAAAAAAAAAAGTCTACGTTTTTATGGTTGCAGTCATACCTAGACTAAGTGATTACAATGGATGGTTATCTTCTATTAGATAGCATCAATTTATAACAATAAATAAACATTCTAGGTCCAATGAAATATTCAAATTCTAACAAATGTTCCATGGAAAACATTGAGTTTTTTTTCTAAGCTGCTTGAAAATATAAAACCTGACTATTTCAGCCTGTTATAGAACAACAAAGGCATATAAAAAGTATGTAGTACTCTTACTACTTAAACTTACTAGTAAGTAGTCAAATATTCCTTTTGTGACCATACAGACTTTATAACTTTAGGAGGCATCGCATAGCGATAACTTTAATCTGAGCATCCCTGACTCCAATAAAATGAACCCAAGATTTCAGATAATAAGCACAAACAGATGGCACCAACTATAGAATAAACTTTACAAGAATCATGTTGCTCTGCTGCATCTGAACAGCAGATAAATGATCATTAAAACAGCACATTTCTGATGGCTCTGGCCTACTTTTGGATATACTGGAAAAGGGGCATGAGTGTGTGCCAATGTATATAGCAATAAAGGTGAAGAAAGTAAGTGACACTGTGAATTTATGTGAGGATGTAAAGGTGGTTTTCATTGTTCTGTATTTTTTCAACTTATCTGTGTTTAAATTTTTTTTAATTGTCTCTAAAAAAGTATGGTTTCTAAGTAGCTCATACATAATTTTAAGTAGAAGAGACTCACCTTGAAGTAAAACGCTGTAAAAGTTAGCTGTAGCCTGAATGCCAAATATAGATCGGAAAGAACAACTAATGAAAACATTTTACCTTTTTCTTAAAAAACTTTCTTATGATGAATTCTTGCTAGAGTAAAAGGACCTCAAGGGGACTGTGTTTTTCTTACTGTTTTAAAATAGCTATAAAAGGAAAACAGGTAGATTGTGAAGAAAGTATCATCCATTTCCACATACCCTATCCCTCAAGTCTTTGGTTGTTTTTAAATAAGTTCATGATTTCCTTCTTAAACATATTAATAATAATTCTTGTGTTGGGTCAGAATGCTATTCTCAAGTCACAAATAACAATTAAAATTTGGATAATATTTTCTAGCTTGCAAAGTTCTTTCAGGTAGAAACTACATCAATTAAACATTATAACATCCATGTGAGGAAGACAAAGCAAGATTACCTTCTCTGACTCACAGAGGAGGTAATTAAGGCGACATGAATTGTGAAAAGTTACAAAGCAGGCCAGCAGCAGCAAAAGAAATAAACTTCTGTGTTTTACTCTTCCTTTTCACTCTTTCCATTGTGTCTCTACATACACAGGTTCTTTCTCTGTACTGCTCTTCCCTCTGAGCAATAGTAGTTAACATGAAGATACATTATTTGACTCCCTGAACTAATGCAGAAAGGCCTTTTAACTCTTGTTTTCTTTCTTCACCTATCTACGACAGTGATCTAAATGTTGCTTCAAATTATTTATAGAAGGATGCAGAATATAAATTATAGACAAACAAAAATATTATGAAGATTCATTCCAAATTCTTCTATTTAAAATTTTTGTATTATTATCTTTTTGGCAATGCCACACAACATGTGAGATCTTAGCTCCCTGCTCAGGGTTTGAACTTGTGTCCCCTGCATTAGAAACGTTGTCTTAACCACTGGATTGCCAGGCAAGTCCCCAAATTGTTTTAGGTGGAATTTAAATAGCATCTGTGATGCAGTTTTTTAAAAACTGGAAATATTTACTTTGTAAATACTAAGTATTTAATTAATACTAATTAATACTAAGTAATTTAAGTATTTAATTTATAAAATTAAATTCCTTAAAACATTATTTTTAAAGGCTATGTAATATTCCACCATATTTGTATGAACCATTCACTCCTACTACTACATATTTATTTACAATTATAACTGAAAATGTAGGGACATTGCAACTAACATTTGGCATACTTTAGCCTCTTTGCATTTATTTCCTTACTGTAAATTCCTAGCAGAAGTACTTAAACATTGTAAAGGCTTTTGCAACATACATAGTTATGTATGGATGTGAGAGTTGGACTATAAAGAAAGCTCAGCACCGAAGAACTGACGATTTTGAACTGTGGTGTTGGAGAAGACTCTTGAGTCCCTTGGACTGCAAGGAGATCCAACCAGTCCATCCTAAAGGAGATCAGTCCTGAGTGTTCATTGGAAGGACTGATGTTGAAGCTGAAACTCCAATACTTTGGCCACCTGATACGAAGAGCTGACTCATTTGAAAAGACCCTGATGCTGGGAAAGATTGAAGAAGGGGACGACAGAGGATGAGATGGTTGGATGGCATTGCCGACTCAATGGACACGAGTCTGAGTAAACTCCGGGAGTTGATGATAGACAGAGAGGCCTGGTGTGCTGTAGTCCATGGGGTCGCAAAGAGTCAGACATGACTGAGTGACTGAACTGAACTAAACTTGCTACATACTGCTAAATTTCTGTCCTGCAAGATTATACCAATTTACTCCATCAGAAAAAAATAAGAATATGTGTAAGCCTTACTTCATGAAAGCCTTACAGCACTGAATTGTACTACAAAAACAAACTTTGTTTTAATTTGCATTTCTTTAATTACTAGTGAGGCTGGACATCTTTTAACATGTATAATAATGATTTTGGAATGTGTGGTAACAGTATGTTGCTTGGAAAAAGATTAAAGGGGTTAATCAGTTGCCTTAGGACAGTTAGGTTTGTCTCAAATTACATATGCAGGTGGGAAGGGAATGGAGAAAGAAGAGTTTCTCTGCAGAACAAAATTCATTCTTTAAAAGTTTCCTACTTATATTTAATTAAGCACATGGGAAAAGGGAAGTCCCAAAGCTGACAGTCTATGAATCAAGTTCTACTTTTTATATCTAGTCAGGTATCAAGTCCCATCATGTTCTCTTTTGAATCCACTTCCTCTTTATCATTGCTTCAACTACTTCATAGTCACAGGTACCACCTCAGACTTAGAACCCAGGACAAACTCATAATTAGCTCCTGGATGATCAGTTTCTCCCCAACATGCGTTACCTCACACATCGATTTTGGAGAAGGAAACGGCAACTCACTCCAGTACTCTTGCCTGAAAAATCCTATGGACAGAGGAGCCTGGTGGGCTACAGTCCATGGGGTCACAAAGAGTCGGACACTTTAAACTAATCTTGCTTAAACTTCACTCATGTCACTCCTTCTCCTTACAATTTTGGGACAGCTTTCCACTTTTCAATGTATCCAGTATTACTCTAGACTTCCAAGGCCCTCTATATCACCAGAGTCTAACCATCCTATTTTCTACTCTCATTACTCACTAACGTAATTTTTGCTTAAGACAGGCAAATTCCCTCAGTTGTTTTCCACATTCCTTTCTGTTTATATTGCTCCTTTCAACTATGACCTTGTTTTTTTACAATAAGGGGCTTCTGAAGTTACTTCACCTCCAGGAAGTCTTACCTGCAGCCCTTGGTTGTCACTCACCCATATCCTTCTCTCTAATGACTTATATCATTAAACACTGGGCCATATATTTCCTATTATTCATTAATATATTACTTTGAAGTTTTTATTCAAAGTTTAAAACTTTACTGAGTGGACTTCTGATCTCAGACAAGATGGCTACTTCCCTCAATTTCCCCAGCTACTCCCCTCTAAATACAATGAAATACCCTGGATATAAACCAACAGGCAACCATAAAGGACTCTGAAGGCTAGAAAAAAAGGTAAACTGTCTAGGGATGTCAGGAATTAAGGAAGGAAGGTCACTGTAGTGAATTCCCTCCTGGGTTTTCATCTTCCACGTAGCCTGGACGGGGCCCTGGAGGGGTGAGTGACTACCAACCAGAACCACCAACACCGATAGACCGAATAGAGTGAAAGTGAAAGTGAAGTGTCGCTCAGTCGTGTCTGACTCTTTGTGACCCCAAGGACAGTAGCCTGCACCAGGCTCCTCCATCCATGGGATTTTCTAGGCAAGAGTACCGGAGTGGGTTGCCATGTCCTTCTCCAGGGGATCTTCCCGACCCAGGGACCGAACCCAGGTCTCCCACATTGTAGACAGACGCTTTACTGTTTGAGCCACCAGGGAAATCCTAACAAAACAAAAACTGAGACAAGTTTGCTCTCTCTCACCAAAGACCAGGAAAGGGGAAGAATAACAGAGGTGTACTGGGGAGCCCTAATGGGCGCAAAGGCAGGCTATCTGGTAACGAAACAGGAGGCTGCTGTCTCCAGGCCCTCTAGCCAGTGGGATGGAGACTCAAGCCTGAGGCCGCTCAGTCCTCTGCCCGGCGGCCAAGGGCAAACCAGGCCCTGTACTGCTCGTCCCCCCACCCCCGCTGGTGGAAGGCAGCTCAGTGACACAGGTGTCTCTCCAAGCAGGAAACACCCGCACAGACTGAGCAGGAAGCCCCAGAAGTGCCAAAGAATGAAACAAACCTGAATAGCACTGCAAGGGCACTGAAAACTAAATGCTGTCAGAGCTACAGCTCACAAAAGCAGGCCAGAATCAACAGGTTAAACTTAAGCAGGGCAACTGCCTACTAAGATAGAAAATCTGAACAGGCTCAAGTCAGCATAATATCTAAAATATCCAGGATAAAATGAAATTATCCTAGCACACAAACAAAATGTTCACGATTTAACAGAACATCATTTATATCAAGAACAGGAAAAATCTTAATTTGACTCTCACAATCTAGATGCTACTGTGCAAATTAGTCAGAGTTTGGATGATCAGACAAGGACTTTAAAGGTGCTATAATGAAAATGCTTCAATAAATAGTTATGAATTATCTTGTAACAAGTGAAAAAAAATAGAAAATCTCAGCAAAGTAGAAGTCAGAAAAAGAAACAGAAACTGCAAAACAGAAAAATAAAATAATAATAATAATTTGGAAACCCCTTGCTGAAAGGGCTCTGTAGTAGAGACGACAGAGGACAGAATCAGTACACTTGAGTTGACAGATCAATAAAA